ATATATATATATATATATATACACATACATATTTCCATGGAGGGAAACCTCAACTTTCAGTAGTGCTGTATATGAAAGGATCCACGTGATTCAGTGCCGTGCCAAAATGTTAGCACAATGGCTGTACATATATCAGTATATATTCTGCCTGCGTGATATTGATAATGTCAAAATCATGAGAGCAGAATAAATAATCGGCAGAAACTTTAGGTAGTTGTAAGTTCTGTGCATTACATTATTAATTTTATGTAATACAATACAATATAATGTAATTCTTTTACAAACAATAATTCTTTTTATTGTAGAAAAATAAGTCGTATTAATATTCTTCAAGATAAAAATAAAGTACAGCATCCGATTATACAGATGATACTTATTACGGTCATTATTTATATATTTAAAACACAAACGTAGAGAAATCACATAGTGACAAATTCATTGAACACTTAATTCGATACAATGAATTTTATATGTTTATTATACACTAGATATTTTCTATTAAACAACAACAAACAATATTTCTAAATTATATATACATGTGATATATTGTCTTATCTTATACTTGTGTTTTCTCTTTTATTTTCTCTGTTCAGTAATTATATGCATGTATTTCGAATGTTTTCAAGCAATTAGCCACATATATATTTTAATATATTTTAATTATATTTTAATTTCAGAAAACAATGCTGAATTTAAGCGTTGTTCCTTAGATATATTTAAGAAAATGTTTCTCTGATAGTTTGGTTACTACAACATTGCAATAAATGAAGTTGAATTACAAGCAATTGCCTATTAAGGCACATTACTTCTTCTTTATGGCAGGCAAGTACAATTAATTAAATCAAAATACATCTTTTTATTATATAATTCTTTTATATTATTCATAATTGCAGCAATGGGGCCAATTCTTCCATTTTTGCCAGTTTATGGTAAACAACTTGGTATTTCTGCATTAATTATGGGCAGCATCACAGCTATTTTACCAATCTTATTCTTAATTGCTAAGCCAAGTTTTGGCTTTCTTGTGGATTATTTTTATACTTGGAGAAAAATAATCTTTATTATACTATTAGCAACAACAAGTAGTTGCTATATTTGTATGTACTTCTTACCAATACTTTCAAGTCCCATTTTTCCAGACCATAGCTTTAATAATGTATCCTGTGATTTGTTACCCTACTGTAAACCAGAGGTACTTTTTTACTGATTAATTATGTAATTTACACATTATTAAATTTTTAAAATATTAATTTCTATTTTCTATTTTAGGATGTGTCTAAGACTTATCTCTGTACTGGAATAAAGAATGCTATGTGCCATTGGTTTTGTACAGATAAAAATTTCTCTTTACCAATACAATTTCAAGCAATCGATAAGGAAATAAGTTTTTCCTCAAATTCCACGTGCTTAATTGATAAAAATAGTACCTTATATTGCTCTAGACGTAATAACTGCACTGTTACTTGTGATGATTCAAATGATAGCTATTGCCTGTATACATCAATTACTTTTTGGGGTTTCGTTCTGTTAATGTCTCTTGGTAATATTGGTTTTAATGTAAGCAATTGCATGAGTGACGCAATTTGTTTTGATATATTAGGTATTATGTAATTTTTTTTCTTTTTATTTCAACCTATTAATAATGGAAGTATATATTTTAATTTGTTTATCTTTTCAGGTGAAGGTGGTCAAATGGGATATGGTAGACAACGTGTTTGGGGAACTATAGGTTTTGGAATTTCTGCCTTTTTAGCTGGTTATGCAGTAGATTACTATTCTAAAGGAGAAATTATTAAAACATATACACCAGCATTTTTACTTGTTTTTATATTCACAATCATTGATTTATTTTGTTGTAAAAGATTAGATGTAAGTATCCATTATATATCTCAAAAATAAAAAAATTTTTCTTTAATATTCTTAATTGCAAGCAGTTTATTACATTTTGCAGCTGCCAAAAATGACAGAATCAACGAATATATTGAAAGATGTAATGAAACTTTTAAAGTTGAAGCCTATAATGATATTTCTCTTTTTCGCAACAATTGCCGGCATTCTTGACAGCTTTATGATTTACTTTTTATTTTGGTAAATATTTATTTAAATATAATATAAAAATATTTTTCAAAATACGATATAGATAGAAACAAAATGAAATTCGCACCAAATTAATATATTTCAAATAGGTATTTGGAAGATCTTGCTATGGTAACTGACTGTATGAGAGAAATTAAATTAATAGAAGGTTTAATCGTTGCCGCGGAAACTTTGGGCGGTGAAGTAATTTTCTTTTCCTTATCTGGTATGCTATTCATTTATTTAAATTTATTTTTTATTTCTATCTTTTTATTGGTAATAAGTAAAATCTTTACAATAGGTAAAATCCTAAAGAAACTAGGATTTGGATATACTTTTACATTCTGTCTCGTATGTTATGCTTTACGACTTGGACTAATTTCTTTAGCATCGACTCCATGGTGGGTAATACCAATAGAGTTGTTTATGCAAGGGCCTACTTATGCACTTTGTTACACAACAATAGTCGCCTATGCAAGTAAAGTAGCACCACCCGGTACTTCAGCCACTGTTCAAGGAATCGTAGCTGGCATGGATGATGGTTTTGGTAATAAAAAATCATGTTATTTAGATATAATGTATTTCAGCATTTGTACTATTTCAATCGATATTTATCAAAATGATGCTACTCGAATAACATCGTATGTAATATAAAGTATATAATATTTATATTATGTTAAATTTTTTATTGTTATATTGTTTATTGCATTAGGTTTTGCAATTGGTAGCTTAATAGGCGGAATCCTATACAAATTATTCGGAGGCATAACGACGTTACGAATATTTTCATCAATTGCCGCTACAACAGCGTTTATATATCTCATTTTATATCTTACATACTTAAAAGATGTGACACCAGGTAATAAAATTCATAGTTTTACTTGATGTAAAATGTCCACGGACATTTTCATTTTCTGTACCTTTTTATTATCGAAACTATTTCCCACAGATACAAAGAATGACGTAGAATGGAAAACGCCCGAGGAAGCTCAAAGGAAATGTACAGTTGCAGAAAGGTGATATAAAGATATAAATCAAAAGATACTTTTAATTCAAAGATACTTTTAATACCTTTTAATAGAAATGAATGTTGTTATTGATATATAACATATGTATAACATACATATATAACAATGTTTTATCAACAGATTATTTTATTACAGTTTACAATTTGTAAATAAAGTTTGATATATTCTTGTTATTGGTGTAATCTTTCATCGCGTGTTATTGTTGAGGAGATGGCAAGTAGCGAAAAAAATGACGTGACAATTCGTACAAAGCTGAAGTTTAACAGCTGCGCGTTCTCAGTTAGCACGTGATTGGGTTGACAAACATGACAGATGTATGGCGTTTGGACACTTTGCCATCTGACGTTTTGATTTTAATTTTCGATTATTGCCATGCATTTGACTTGGTGCGACTTAGCGAAGTTTGTAAACGGTTCTACTACATCATACGAGAAGAGACACTTTGGATCAAGAAAAGCAAACAGCCGATCGCGACGAATCAAACTTCAAAGAAATTTCGCGAAAGGTATAACAGGTTATGTTTAAACGGTTTCTCGATGTGTAATACGTTATTTTTTACCGTTATTTTTGATTATTTTTAGTAACGTGATTTTATTTACATAATTTTGTACGTTGTAAAGTTCATAGTGCGTATTGACACGACAGACGAAACTATGTATTAAAAATCTAGAAAACTCCAGATGGTTCCAGGTTCCATGATACTAACAATTAATTATATATTATCGACAATTAATATAATAGATAGAATAAAGAATTACTTGTCTTTTTTATTAAACAAATTACATTATTATTATTAATTATAAATAGTCTCAAGATCTATATTTAAGATATCAATGTCAATATAATGAAATATTTTATGTATATATTAAGCAGAATTTTACTGAGCTTTGATATTTTAACTTAACAGGTGCAATTCATTACTATGTTTGCGTACAAAATGGCATGTTTCAAATAACTGGCAATACGGCAAATACGAGAGAAGGATTCTTTTTTCTCAAACTACAAAAGTTATACCAAAAATTGAACTAACCAAAAACGTTTTATGGTGGAGTGGCGGAAATGAATTGTATGGTTTTAGACGTACTGAACCATTTCAGGAAAATAACAGAACGTTTATTAATGATTATGTTAGGAGTGATATTTGCAAATTCGTTGTTAGAAATGATTGTATTATTACAGGTCACAGGTACTTTGCCATAGACTAATTGATCAAAATAACAGTGAAGCTAATATTTTATAAAGTTTATATTTCACACGAACGTTGTTTTTTTTTACAGAGATGGAAGTATACAATTTTGGAAAAAACCAGAACGTGGTCGGAAAATAAATTTTTACTTCAGTGTAGACAGAGCTCATTCTAAGAACGTAAATGCACTAGATGAAACATGTAGCACTATTGTATCAGGTTCCAATGATGGAACTATAAAAGTAGAAATTTTAAATGTTACTTAAATAATAAGTTTTGTGTAATTAACATTCAAGTAATATCATAACATTTTTATTATTTAGGTTTGGGGACCCTTTGAACAAGGCACGTTAAATGTACCTTTAGCAACGCTAAATATTATAGAGTGGGTATGTTCTCTTTCAATTGATCCAACGAATAAAAAATTTGCTGTAGGCTCTGCTGGTGAAATTGATAGGCCTCACCTTCATATATTTGATCTTGAATAGTAAGTAATTACGTAAATCGAGAAACGCAAATTAAAAACAAAATTTTCGGGAACTATCCATGTTAAATTTATGTTTCGTAATAATTTTAGTTACAAAGAATCTGATATATTAAAGCCAGATAAAAAAAGATGCGCAGGAACTTTAGATATGGTTTGGAATAGCCCACAAATCTTGCTTACCTGTGGATATGATACCTATATTCGTAAATGGGACTTGAGGTAAATTTACACATACATGTTGGAATAATAACGTTATTAAATTAATAACATCATATTTATCAAAAAAAATTATTGTTCTAGAACTGGAACGTGTGTATATTCGTGGCCAGATCCAACGGATGCAACTGTGTATTGTTTATCAACAGACTACCAGCACACTATGATTACTGGAACTAAATTTAACTGCAAAGCTGTCCTCTGGGATCAAAGACAGAAAAATTACGTACAAGTTAGTACATATTTTTTAAACGATATTCGTATATCATATATCGAATATAACATTATATTATATTCATAATACGTTTTTATTTTTTACAGTTCTACTTCATGAACCTTCGTAGAATGTCAAGTCCTATTTATTCTTTAAGCTTTGACAGTACACGTTTATACGGCGCAACAGATCAACATTTAGTCGAATTAAACTTCTCAGGGTACTCGTACAAAGAATCTAATTATAGAGAAATTCTCAAATATAAATAAATTGACGCGAATAGAACTGATTCGAATTGGATTGTATAAAATGAACACATAATATGAAGTATATAAAATAAGTGAAACAATATGTGACTGATACAGACTAAGATACTTTTGAAATATTGGAAAATTTAATTGTAGATTAAAAAACACGTCACAACTGCAATAATTATTAACACTTTATTTATGTCAACAAGTATCCATTTTCTGCAAGACTCTTTTTAAAAAAAATAATTACAAAATGTAAGAAATTTGATTTAATGCAATGAATATTGTACATTTCATTTGTAAATTCATAAAATATTGCACTACTTGAATTTTTAGCTTATAACTTGAATTGTACAAGAAACTTCGCAGTTCGGAAAAAAATTTGTGATACGCAAAAAAAATATATTTATTTGAAAAATTTGTGATACGCAAAAAAAGCAATATTCGTTACAATTATCTTTTTTTACTAAACAAGGATATGGACCTATTTAAATATTACATATTGCAAATCCAAACCCAAAATTAAGTATTGCGTTAAGTAACTTCTTATGATAATTTATACCTCACTGATCCTTAAATTAATCCTATCAAAGCATTTTTCTGATCATGTAGTTTAGGATACCACCATGTTTATAATATGTTAAATCAACTTCAGTATCAAATCGCAGTATCACTTCGAATTTTTTACCATCGTCCGTAGTGACAGTAAGATTTTGACCAGGTTGGCAATTTTCAGGGATTGCTATATCGTACGCTTCATAACCGGTCAGTCCTAGAGACTCTGCAGTTTGCCCAGGTAGGTACTCTAAAGGTATAATACCCATACCTACCAAATTTGACCTAGAAAATATCGACAATAGCGATATTTTAAAACTTTCTTATAAATTTTCTTCGGTTTATTTCTTAATCTTTACCTGTGTATTCTCTCATACGACTCGGCTATAACCGCTCGAATTCCAAGAAGATACGGCCCTTTCGCAGCCCAATCTCTTGATGATCCAGATCCGTATTCTTTGCCGACGAGGATTATTAAAGGTGTTTGATCCTTCGCGTATTTTTCAGCTGCATCAAAAACGTCCATCTAAAAATAAAAGATTACATTATGATGTACAAATGTTTATATGTTTTATACAAGTTGGCTATGTGTACATGCCTTGCAATGCATTAGAAAAATGACTCGAACAATATTACTTTATAATATTATTTTAATCACAAACCTCTTCCTTAGTAGGAATGTAAATTGTACGTGGTCCAGGTTTTGTGAGGAATTTATTCATTAAACGAATATTAGCGAACGTGCCTCGTACCATTACAGCATCATTACCTCTTCGTGCACCGTAAGAATTGAATTCTTTTGGTGTCAATCTAGAAGTGAAGAAATAATTAATTAAATACTTACTTATTCTCTTTATCTTTATTTTTTTTTTTTTTTTTTATTTGTGCTTTAAACGTACCCGCGGTTTGCAAGGTATCGTGCCGCCGGGGAATTACGCGCAATACTGCCAGCTGGACTAATATGATCTGTCGTAACGGAATCACCAAGATTCAGAAGAACACGTGCTTTGGTGACTGGTTTTAATTTTGGTAATTGCTAATTGCAATTGGAATAATTTCAGTCAATACTAAGTCACTTACCAAATGTAAAAATAATAAATTTATAATAAAATTAATGAATTTATAAAAACGAATACAATACGATTTACCTTTTCCAAATCGTCAAAGTATGGTGGATTCTTTATATAAGTGGAATTTGCGTCCCATGGATATAATGTAGTATTTGGAGCAGCCAAATTTGCCCAGCTGGGGCTACCTTTCTCAATTTTGCTGTAAACTTCTGTAAACATTGCTGGAATTACAAATTTTTGCTCAACGGCTTGAATTTCTGATCTAGTGGGCCAAATATCTTGAAGGTATATCGGAGTGCCATCCGAACGACGACCTGGATATCATCAACAATTATGAAGTTTCTCGAAAATTATAAATCACAAAATATAATTATGATATAACTTACCAAGCGGTTCTTTTTCAAAATCTATGTCTACCGTTCCAGCAATGGCGTATGCAATTACCAAAAGCGGTGACGCTAGATAATTTGCTCGCGTGTGCGGATGAATTCTGCCTTCGAAATTTCGATTGCCAGACAATACGCCACAGCAAATAAGATCGTTCTAATTGGGTGAAGTGAACAATTAAAATCGGTTAGAAATTATTTTCATGATGTAGAAATTGAAAACAGCAAATATGCCATTACCTTTTCAATGGTCTCGGCAATAATATCTGGAAGAGGACCACTATTACCAATACAAGTCATACATCCATAACCAACGACATCGAATCCTAATTTTGTTAAATATGGAATGACACCGCTTTCTTCTAGGTAATAAGTAACAACTCCAGATCCTGGAGATAGTGATGTTTTAATATAAGGTGCTACACACAAACCAGCTTCAACAGCGTTCTTCGCAAGAAGACCTAAAGTCATGTGATTTTATTATATCAAAAATATTCAATAAAAAGCTTTATAACCTTTCTAAAATGATATCTTCTAATATTTCAATGCACAAACGAGATTTTACAAAAGTTACCTGCTCCAAGCATTACACTAGGGTTGCTAGTATTAGTACAACTAGTAATTGCAGCTATGACCACTGAACCATGTCTTAATTTGTAATCCTTTCCTCCATATTCAAACATACCAACAGCATCCACTTTCTCAGGGCTTAAACCATATCCTTTAAATCCTATCTGAAAATAAGAATTATTTATTAATAATATTTTCCCACTACTTAATAAGACATAGCTAAAATTATTTCAATGTAAAATTACAGCGTTCATGAATAATTAATTTTTTATTAATAAATGTCGAAAATATTTTTGTATGTTATATATTAAATTCTAATTTTAAAATTGGACAGAAATGGAAATCTGAAGCCTTTCGTATACAGAAAGGTTTGATGACCCGCGAGAATGATTGCATTCAGAATTCATTGTCCGACCAATGATTTGCTGAAGAAGCACTCTTATATCGCAAAACGGCAGGTCTTCAACTCTTTCGACATTCAATGTTTAATGTTGAACTTTCATTCTGTATGATATATTTTTTTTATAGGGAAGATATAGAAATATATAGATGGATTTTAATATTTAAAAACATTGGGTAAAAAGTTGAATACAAGTTCATCAACGTACACATATCTTACTAAAGCTACTTTCTAGGACATATGTATGTTTACATAAACTTTTCTCACATAATTTTATGTTTACATAAATTTTTCTACATAAATTTTTAATAAATATTTTTTTTTAATACGCTGTACATTACCACAATGAGGAAATTTGTTTAAACTGTCTTGTTTAAACTTGTTAAACTGTCAGGTTTAGGTAGTAAGATTTCATAAGTTTACTGGATAATAAACTGAAGGCTAATAAATTATGTCTCTTTCCCTTTTGAAAATACGGCTATTTGAATGTTTCTTTAATGACATGTCCCGTTTACTGAGGCTGTTAAGACCTTTATAATTACTTTTGGGACGGTAAACGCATTACGAAGCCGATACCTAAATTTGTTCACGGAACCTTCCAAGAACCTTCAGTGTCGAATAATGACTAGTTTTGTCATTATCTGACCTTTTTCTTGCATTTAGAAGTTATTTTTACAAATTCTATATAAACAATTTCTATATTACAGGAAGAGATATAAAAAAATATAATATTTCAGTTCAACAAATCTGAAAATACTTATTGAAAACTATTTACTGTTAAACTTGAAGAGATTTCTTACAATAAGAAAATTACTTCATTTTATATCAACAAAAACCAATCAAGTTAAAGTTAATAAAAATTAAATCACTCTTTAAACTATACAAAAGAATACAATAAATTCATAGTAACCAATTTTTGTACTCTTTTGAATATAAAATATATTTCTTTCTTCAAATACAATTTAAATATTGGAATTGCTTTCTTTTGGAAACCTTTCAATTCCTGTGCACGTGAACGAAAGGCAAATTCAC